AATTAAAGGACAGCAGAGGAGAGAGGGGGGGACAGGGGAGAGGGGGCAGGGGGGTGCCTCCGGTGGAAGGAGAGCTCAGAGGCAATGGTCCCTTTGGCCGCCTTGCCCTCCCCCAGCGGTGCCCCCTCCATCTCCAGGCTCTCCTTATACAACCATCAGAGGAAAATGAAAGAGACAGGATGTTGTATCAACACTTCAGCAGTTCATCTTAGAAAAATGACAGCTCTTAAATGTTCAAAAATGCTTTGGAAACTTCTAGAGAAAAGAGGCTTTGCGGCCCAGGCTTTTCTTCCTCCCCTCCTCTCCTCAGCTCTCTCCACGCCCTCCTGTGACCATCCAACCCGCACTCCTAGGTCGGTCACAGTCCTCGTTTCTGAACTGAGACTCCCTGTCCCACCATCAGGGGGACGGACCCACCTGCGGTCCCGCCAGGCCCAGCAAGTCAGCACGCCCCGCACCCTCACTTCTAGACCTGTCCGCATGCTTTTTCCAATTCCCATTCTTCTTGTCACCTGGCTAACACTAGCTGGAGAGTGATCAGAGCTCCCCACTTCCACAGAAAAGAGTTCTCCCCCTGCCACTCATGCCCACCCCCCTCCCTGCCTCCTCATTCATCACACCTCCATGCCAGCTGCCAGCCACCATCTCCGGAGCCCACTCCTGGGGCTGCCCGTCTCCTCCACCTTCACAACCCAATTTCTTCCCTTTCAGGGCCCTAATCAAATGCCACCTCCTCCCAGACACCTCCTTGATTTCTTAGCTGGAAATAATGGTGATAACAACTAACAAGAATTGGGGTTGGTTGGCCACGGGTATTATCTCATTTCATCCACGTCACAGTCATGGGTGGGAATTATGGTTCATATCATCCCCATTTTATAGCTAAGAAAACTGAGTCTCAGAGAGGTTAGTGAATTTTTCCAAGGTCCTGTACTCCAACTCAAACACAGTGCTGCCCAACTCGAGGGCTCAGCGGTAAACAGGATGACTCCCTCCCGAGTTACCCAAGGCATGTTATCTGATTAAATGTTCTTCAAATGATACATGTAAGTAGTTGACAACATACAACACTCTGAAATACTACCTGGGCTTCCTGGGAGCCCACCCCACTCCTGACTCCCACTTTCCTGTGGTTCCCTGTCTCTTTCATCTCTATGCCTGGCCCACAGTGGGCCATCAACATGCTAGCTGTCAACCATCAAATACACAGGGGTCCAAAAAATGTACACACACTCTGAGTAATTATAAAGGCAATGTTTATTAAAATACATTTCCTTTTCAACATGTAATAGAATCAGCTGTTCAAGTGTGTATACATTTTTGGGGATACCCTGTATAGTGAGTAACTATTATGTGTCAGGCGCCAAGATCAATGACGTAGTTGCTGTCTTGAATTATCCCTCCGCTCCCCACTCCCTAAACCGTGCTCTTCCCAGCCATTCCCCCATTATCGGGTCACAGCCAGGCACCCCACCCAGTTAGTGACACTCCAGTGAATCACAGAAAACTCGATTCACTCTTTTCTGACGCCCATGTCTGGGCGTGTGAATTGGTTAGCATTAAGTTTGGCTGCATTTACGAGATCCCAACTAACAGTGGCTTAACCAAGGCGAGGTCGTGTCCCTCAGGCAGTCCAAGGCCAGTGCGGCATCTTAGCTCCACAGTGTCCTCGGGGACCTGGGCTCCTCCAGCTCCTACTCCCTATTCGTAAGGTGAGGCTGTGGTCCTCATGATCCAACTTGACACCAGAACGCGGTCTACTGCACCCACAATTCACCCGTGGGGTGGAGGGAGGGATGAAAAAGGCAGGCGCACAACAGGAGAGCTGCCACATGTACTTCCGTTTGTATTTAATTGGCCATCGTTTAGTCACATGGCCATCCTAGTTGGAGAAGCTGGGAAGTGTCGTGTTTATGCTGGGTGGCCACATCCCCATCTAAACTTGGAGTCCTATTACTTGGGAAGAAGAGAAGACTAGATATTAGACAACTAGCAGCCTCTACTAAAAAGGTTGTGTGTGTGTGTTATGTGTGTGGTGTGTGTGTGTGTGTGTGTATGCCTGAAATGTGTGTGTTACGTGTGTGAGAATGTCTGTTATTCTCTGTGTGTTGGTGGGTCAGGTTCTCTCCATCACTTTGATCTCAGATGGGCCTGTTACCAAGCCTGGCCTCTCCTCTTAGGAAGACTTAGCAGCAGCTTCTCAATTCCACGTTTTGAGGAATTGCCATTTATTTTCAGCAGCCACTGGAGCATGAGCAGTGGTGACAGAGAGGGCTTGTAAACTGTTTCTCCGTTAAGGTAGTGCAGGGTGGCCATTATGTGAGAGCAACTACAACCAGAGTTAATCTGGTAATAAATTCTCTTGGGAAGGAGGGCGTCATTAACACATAAATCCTAGGGAAGGATAGGACTCAATCTTGTGCACAAGGGGAAGACCCAGAAACACCAGGGACCCTGTTGAGATGGCCCAGGGGAGGCAAGCAGCCACGTGCTCGATTCAGGGTTGGCTACAGGTAGTGTTGTCCATGCATTTCAAGCCCTGCCCAGCAATTACTCCATTCAAAACAGCTGGCATTTATTCTCCCCACCCCACCCTTCATCTCTCTCTCTCTCTCTCTCACACACACACACACACACACACACACCAACAAGGGCTTTACAGGTTCCTGTCATTTGCCCTTTGAGCCAGGTGGTGTTATCAGTTATCAGATCCATTTTACAGATGGGAGCAGATGCTCTAGGGCCGTGGTCGGCAAACTGCGGCTCCCGAGCCACACGCGGCTCTTTGGCCCCTTGAGTTGGCTCTTCCTAAGCCTTAGGAGCACCCTAATTAACTTAATAACAATGTACCCACCTATATAGTTTAAGTTTAAAAAATTTGGCTTTCAAAAGACATTTCAGTCGTTGTACTGTTGATATTTGGCTCTGTTGACTAATGAGTTTGCCGACCCCACCCCATAACAAAGACACAGAATTTCCGGAGGATGAGGCCCAGAAATCAGGATTTTAAAAAGATTCCCAGGTGATTCTAATGTGCACCCAAGGTTGAGAACCACTGCTCTGGGGAACTTAAGTATCTTTCCCAGAGACACAGCTAGTAAGGGCAGCCCGCAGCTAAAGCCCGGGACAGCTTGACACTGCTACCCTCGCTAAGGTTTGGTGGAATCACACTGGGGGGTTAGCGTTATTTGACTCTGTCCCACAAAGGTTTGGTGGAGACGTTTCTTCAGGTAACAAGTATCTAACAGGAGGAGTTTTAACTTTTTTAAAAGAACAAACAATCACAAACACATCTGAAGTGCCCCCCGCCAAATGACGGAGTGTTTGTCATATCTGAAGTTGCTATGAGGGTACAATCTCATAGCTTCATCCTAGAGTGGGGAATTCGTTCCCAAGTGCCATGGTCCCCGAGTGCCAGCCGCCCTTGGCTGGGCATTGCAGTGGTTAATGATTTGGACTTTCCCGTGAAGATGGGAGAAACTGGGAGTGGGGTAAAGGGAGCCCAGTCTTTCTGGGGAAGGCAGTTCTGAGTTCGAATTCTGGCTCTGCTACTTACCTGTTCGACTTTGAGTGAGTGAATGCATCTCCTTGAGCCTCATTATTCCCCTCTATAAAACAGATTTTAAGAAACATGCCTTTGATCAGGCATTATAAATAGTATATAAACAGACTGTTGATTTCTATGACATTGGCAGGATGGGAATTATGTTAATAATGTCACCTATGGACAGAAAATGTATTATCTGTTTTTATCAGGATCCAGATGAGGCAGAACCCCAAAAGCAGAGGCTAACTTTTTTGCTACCTTCAGACCTTTCACGCTAAAATTTATTTACATTTAATTATTATTTCAGGCTCATCCGCATATACTTAGCATGGGTCATCGGCCACAGACTCACAAACATTTAACTTTATTACCTTTTGCCTCATTGCCTCGTGTATCTCATTAAAACTTTGTGGCTTCATCGAGGATCAGCATATTGTTAACTTTAGAATTCATGATTCCAGGATGCTGAAAGTTTCAAACATTCTGAGGGGGACATACTATATCTTCTCTCCTGCCTCTGTGCCTTTGCATCTGCTGGTTTCTTTGTGACTATGACAATGCTTTCTACTCTTCCTAACCCCTGCTCAGTCTTCAATACCCAGCTCAGGTGACACCTCTTCCAGGAAGCCCCCTTTGATCCCTGTGATATCTTGTACTTGTCTTTCTTGCAAAGCTCTTTTTTCCTGAGTTGGAATGGTCTGTTTACCTATTTGTCTCTCTTATCAAACTGTAAGCAACTTGAAGGTAGAGACCACCTGTAGTTCACTATTGTATCCTTGGCGCCCAGAACTGCTTGTGACATATTATCAGTCCTTCCATAAGTGCTGGTTGGATTCAGGTTCCCAGTGGGAGAGAGGGGAAGCGATAAAGCCAATGATAAATGCCATATGGCCACATCAGCGGCTGCTATGAGAGTAATGGGAGGACAAGTGACATAATCTCTAACAACGGGGTAGTAATAGCGTACATTTCACAATACCTTTATAGCTCATTCACATGCATTATCTAATTTGATCCGTATGAAAGCTTGGAGATAGGAATACTTCAGGGGATAAAAGGTAGAGTTTTTCGCAGTTATGTGATTTGCTTAAAGTCTTACGGCTGGTAAATGGCTAGATTTAAACCAGACCTTAAAAGCCCACTCTCTTCCTCGAAGCACACAATGAAGTCACATCATCACCACCGCGTCCATTTGCTCATGGTGGCTTACTGCTCTGCGGTCTACAGCCCACCTCCTCGTGGTTTTATTGACCAGGCCTCGCCTCTCCCTGAGGAGACGCTTTTTATTAATGCATGTCTAGATAATGAATTGTCTTTGACCCTAAGGAGATGATAGCCAGGGCAGAAAGCTAACCTCATTTTGACCCACATCCGGTAAGGTGGTTGGTAACAGGGCATATGGTATTTTCAGAGACAGCAGTAACGTGTAATGTGTGGTTCCCTTTGCTTCCAGGCCCAAGACACACATCCGGGAGGGAAAATGCGCTGTGGATTCCTGTGCCGATTCCTGTGGCTTTGGCCCTATTTGTTCTACGCAGAAGCTGCGCCCATCCAGAAAGTCCAGGATGACACCAAAACCCTCATCAAGACGATTGTCACCAGGATCAACGACATTTCACACACGGTAGGGAGGGTCTGGGGAGACAAAATAGACGTGTGGCCAGCCGTGGGGAAACTGGGTCCTCAGAGGTTAACCGAGGCCTGTGCAGTGACATGTAGGGGCTTTGGTGGCCTTGACTCCTCCTTCTGTACGAGTAGCTGCCTCTTCTCTCCTGCTCTCATCAGTCCCCGCTTTCTTACTTCTCTTCCTCCCTGACTGGAATCCTAGTGCCTAGGACCAGAGGGAGCCATAAAGGTCCTTGGCCCATTGGCATGTGACCAGACTCCCCTCTGGGATCTCCATGTATCTCTAGAATGTGCTGATCAGTAGGTGTTTTTCCTAGTTGCAGCTGAGCTCTGGCCCTTAGAAGGTCTCCCCATTAATGCGAGTCCTGTGGCCAAGGCCACGCTAAAGAGCAAGTCTACCCTCTTCCACATACAACTTCTGGGTATTTGTAAACAGTTATCAATGCCCCTTGGGTCTTTGCTTTGGGATCCACAGGCCTAGACCTTCAGCCATTTCCCACTTCTCTGTACACCTCTGCTCTCTATCTGCAAAATCTTAAGCTAGTTCCTCAATGTCTTTAAGCCTTGGTTTCAGCATCTAGCTATGGCACTCATGTCTAAGGGACTGTATCGTGTCATATAGCCTTTATAAGGCCATTATGAGATTAAATTCAAGGAAGCAAGTGACCCCTCCCCACCCCCCGCAGGACCAGAACCGAGTGTGCCCTCATTAAAGGTTTGCAGTTGTAGTTTTCGTAGCCCCCAGCCTTAAACGCCTGCTTTTTGCCCTGCACGGGCTTCCACATCTCCTGGTCACTGTGGACATCTGACAGCGGCCTTGGGAAGGGAGAAGCTAGGTGGCCAGAAGCAGGGACAGCTCAGAACAAGACAGAGTCTTGGACATTTTACAGAGAGAAACCCTTAAGTTTCATTGCTTTCAAAATAGTCATTTGACAAGGCTGCCCGGGAAATGTCCAGAGTGTCCCTGCTGTGGGTGCAGGGGGTGCTGTGGCAGCTGGGAAGGGGAAGCCCTCCCGGTAACCAGAGTTATTGGAGCAGAGGCGAGAGGCGGGACGCTCGCTGGGGGTGGCCTAAAGGGGTGAGGTCCATGAAGAATCTGACCGGAAGGGAGGAATTTACTGGGAGAGGAAGGGAGTGAAGACGGCTGGGGAGGGAGCGCTTATGGAAGACCTCAGTGCCTGGGGAAGAGACTTAACTCAGTACAGAATGGGAGTCACGGCTGGCTCTAAAGCAAAGGCCATTCAGAGAAGGCACGACCAACCTGGGAAGGTTGGTCTGAAAGTGGAGGGCAGGGTGGTTTGGGAAGGGCAGGAGGACAAAAAGTCCAGGAGGCCAGCTTAGAGGTTTGGCAGCCACCTGGGCACAAGAAGTCAGGGCCCAGGCCGGGATGGTGCAGAAGAGGGAAAGGAAGCAACCTAGGAAATGAACCTCCATACTCCATGGAAAGGCCGAGGGCTTTAGAGAAGGGACTTGCCTCCTGCCTTGCTGAGCTGTCGTTCTCCCTCTTCCTCCTGCACAGCGGTCGGTCTCCTCCAGACAGAGGGTCACTGGTTTGGACTTCATTCCTGGGCTCCACCCTATCCTGAGTTTGTCCAGGATGGACCAGACATTGGCAATTTACCAACAGATCCTCACCAGCCTGCCTTCCGGAAACGTGCTCCAAATATCTAACGACCTGGAGAACCTCCGGGACCTTCTCCACCTGCTGGCCTCCTCCAACAGCTGCCCCTTCCCCCGGACCAGGAGCCTGAAGACCTTGGAGGGCCTGGACGATGCCCTGGAAGCTTCCCTCTACTCCACAGAGGTGGTGGTCCTGAGCAGGCTGCAGGGGTCTCTGCAGGACATGCTACAGCAGCTGGACTTCAGCCCTGGGTGCTGAAGCCTTGAAGGCTTGGAGAGAGCCTGAGTGGACATGTTTATCCAGGCCTCCAGTCCCTTTCTCTCTCACTCCTCCAAGCCACCTTCCCGAAGGTCAGTTCTGCCGGGGCTTGGCCACAGCCAGCCGCCAGCTGTTTGGGCTGAAGGATCCCCCGAAGCACAGGACTGACAGCTGACAGCGTGAGCACATGCTGCCCCAGAGCCAGGGAGGGTCTGCACATCAGCCTTGAGAAGCACCAAGTTTTTGAATAAATGAATAAAACCCCAGCAAACAAAGACATGCAGCTCAATAGCAGGCTCCACCAGATACGCAGGCTCGCAAAGACAAGGCCTTTCTGGTTGCAGGCACAGAGCAGTCATCCCTGCAGAACATGAGGACTTGAGAGTTTCAACCCGAGTCCCAGGGTGGACTCGAGGGCTGGCCCATCCAAGGGAGTCACTTCCATGGATGATTTCAAGGGTCCCCATCCCCCAAAACATCTGGCTGATTACTCTGGAGATTTAATGAGAGAACGACCCAGCACAGTGTCTAGTTCATGGTAGATGTAAGTGAATCTGCTTCCCTTCGCCTCTCAATCAGCAACAGGCTTTAAACGCCAGTGATCTGGGACCAGGAGCACATGGACACAAACTCACCTCCGTGTAGATGATGGAGGCCGAGTCCTGTGCACTAGCTCAGGTGGGGGCGGAAGGGGAGGCCCGAGAAGAGGGGCAGTCAGAGGTGGCTGGAGAGCCTGAGTGGGTCACGTGGCAGCTGAGGGAAGTGGCTGACTTCTGTATCAGTCAAGACTCCATTAGCTGCCAGCAGAAGGTGTTTGGGAGAAACTCAAGGCAAACTAAATGAAATAAAAAAGAGAGGGGAAGAAAGAGAGAATGTTTTGGCCTGTGTTGCTGAGGAGTCTAGGCCATGATCCATGTCTTACAACACTCTTTTGCACTTACCCCCAGGGGCTAGAAGGTGCTAGTGCCATGATCCGCCCAGTCGCCGCTGGCCTGAGGTGGGTAACAGAGGCTTGGGGGTGAGTGTGTTTGCCCCTTTGGTGGCCTCCAGGGACTGTCTGAGCTGCCTTGTTTCTGAGCAGCCACAAGCCCGAGCAGCTGCTGCGCTCCCCCCAGCCCCAGGGGCTCAGGAGGCCAGCCCACAGTAGCGGGTGTCTGAGCAGAGGCCTGGAGAGTCATTCCCTTCTCTGTGAGGTGACTCCCGGGGTCAGCAGGGAAGGGGGTGTTTCTTAGATTGTCCTTCCAGATCCTTTTCCACCCTCAGGCATTCTCTTGCACTCCCCTGAGGCAGCAGCTCACAGCTGGCAGAGTCTGGGGACAGCACCTGGCCGTGTTCAACCTCCAGAGTCAGGACTTTTGCAGAGTCTAGTGAGAAAAGCATCAAATCAAGCCAGAGGACCTTTCAGAAGACCCCAGATGCTTGCTGCACAGCATCATACAACCAAGAATTACAGCCCTAGCTGGTTGGCTCAGGGGATAGCGTGTCAGCCTGCGGATGGAAGGGTCCTGGGTTCGAGTCGGTCAAGGGCACAAGGGGATCGATTCCGATGCCGGCTCCATCCCCAGTGTGGGCGTGTAGGAGGCAGCCGATCAATGATTCTCTCTCATCATTGATGTTTCTGTCTCTCTCTCCCGCTCCCTTCCTCTCTGAAATCAATAAAAACGTATTTTAAAGAAACGACACTTCTTTTTTCCAAAAGGACAGAGCAATTTATTCCAGGCTTCAACCTCAGGATCTAAGTCTAGGGATGCCCGACTACACAAATCCACTTGGGTTAAGTTCACGGGTACACTGTCATCCTCAGCACAAGGGGTCCTGGCCCTGGGAACTTACAGTCCCTGTCCTGAGGATGGGAGAACAAGGCTATAAAGAAGGTAACAGAGCCTCCCAAGCCCAGCTCTCACTTCAACCCCAGCTCCCAGCCCAGAGGGTGCCTAGCCCTTAGACAAGCTCTATAACCTCTCTTACCCTCAATATGTCACCTGTACATGGGAAGAATAATACAACCTCCCTCATAGGCCTTCAGAAGATTGATTGACAATATATTTGGGAAGCTAGAAGCCCAATGACTGATATACAAAAAGCACTTACTAAATCATGTTGTTATTAGTGTTAATGAGTCAGGGAAGCAGCAGGAATGGGGGTGCTCAGCAGACTCTGGTGCCCTGGCCACCCCTGAGGCCAGCTGCAGCTGTGACATGCAGTTCCCTGGCTCAGGTCTCCTCGCATCTCACCACCTTGAAGCCTTAGGAAGGCCTGTCAGCCCACACGGCCAGCCTAAGAGGGAGAGTGATAGCCCTGGAGGAGGCTCTCAACCAGTAGGGATGAGGCTCTGTGGATAAATGCGCCAGCCTCCCGCCCTCCCCAGGGGCAATTCTGAGGTGCATCGTACCCAGATTGAGCGCTGGTGCCCACACCAGTCACCACATCAATGAAGCACTCTTAATTGGCTCCTCCTACCCTGTCTCACTCTCCCCGCCCTCACTTCCGCTTCCTACGGTCACCTCCCAAACACCTTCTGCGCCAGAACCCTCGTCTCAGGTGCTGCTCTTGGAGGAACCCAAAGTAAGACAAACCGCAGAGCAAAAAGAGATGGATTTGGACGCTGAGAGAACTGTGAAGCAAGGTTGCAGCCCTCGCCCAGTGGCTCAGTTGGTTTGAGCATCGTCCCCATAGCCAAGATTGTGGGTTGGATCCCTGGTCAGGGCACATACAAGAATCAACCAGGGAGGTGGGAATGCAGACTGGGGAAACCACTGTGGAGTTTCCTCAAAAAACTAAAAATGGAACTCCCATTTGACCCAGTGATCCCCCTTCTAGGAATATATCCCAAGAAACTAGAAACAGCAATCAGAAAGGATATATGCACCTCTATGTTCATAACAGCACAATTCACCATAGCTAAGATTTGGAAACAGCCTAAGTGCCCATCAGCAGATGAGTGGATTAAAAAATGTGGTACATCTACACAATGGAATGCTACGCTGCTATAAAAAGCAAGGAACTCCTACCATTTGCAATAGCGCAGATGGACCTGGAGAGCATTATGCTAAGTGAGATAAGTCAGTCAGAGAAAGATAAATATCACATGATCTCACTCATTTGTGGAATATAATGAACAACATAAACTGATGAACAAAAACAGATCCAGAGACAGAGAAGCATCGATCAGATGCTCAAACCTCAGAGGGAAGATAGGGGAGGGTGGGGGAAGGGGAACAGATCAACAAAGGACTTGTATGGATGCATATAAGCCTAACCAATGGACACAGACACCAGGGGGGTGAGGGCATGAGCGGGGGGGGGGGCAATTGGGGGATAAGGACACATATGTAATACCTTAATCAATAAAGAAAAAAAAAGAATTAACCAGTGAATTGCATAAATAAATGGAACAATGAATCAATGTTTCGCGCGCTCTCTCTCTCCCTCTCCCCCCTTCTTCTCTCTCTCTCTCTCTCTCTCTCTCTCTCTCTGAAATAGGTCCCGAGAGGTGCAGGGGCCACACACCAAAACCCAGAGAACCCCTGGGTCATCCCAAGGAATGTGGCTGACGGGAGTGAAGAAGACAGGGAGTCCACTTCAGGAAAGCTTGACATGGGAAAGAACAGGAGGAGAACCTACTAACATGGAAGAATTACAAGATTAGGAAGGAAGGAAGGAAGGAAGGAAGGAAGGAAGGAAGGAAGGAAGGAAGGAAGGAAGGGAGGGAGGGAGGGAGGAAGGGGAGGGGAGGAAATGAAAGAGAAGAAATACTAGTATATATAAGTTAAAATGAACATCACCTGTCTTAGTGAGTTTGGGCTGCTATAACGGAATACCATAGCCTGGGTAGTTTATAAACAACAGATCTTTATTTCTCTCGGTTCCGGAGCCTGAATGTCCAAGATAAGACGCCAGCAGATTCCATGTCTGGCGAGGACTCACTTCCTGCTTCGTAGACCACATCTTTCCCTGGGTCCTCATAAGGTGGAGGGGACAAGGGAGCTCTCTGGGGTCCTTTTATAAGGGCCCTCATCCCATTCATGAAGGCTCTACACCAGTGGTTCTCAACCTTCCTAATGCTGCGACCCTTTAATACAGTTCCTCATGTTGTGGTGACCCCCAACCATAAAATTATTTTCGTTGCTACTTCATAACTGTAATTTTGCTACTGTAAACAATATGTAATTATATATGTGTTTTCCGATGGTCTTAGGCGACCCCTGTGAAAGGGTCGTTCGATCCCCAAAGGGGTCTCGACCCACAGGTTGAGAACCGCTGCCCTACACCCATGACCAATTTGCCGCTGAAGGCCCCACCCCCAAATTCTATCACATTGGGCGTTAGGATTTAATATATGAATTTGGGGGGAACACAAACATTCAATTTACGGCATCATCTTATGATAACTGATTGGAAAAAAAATCAGGCTATTAAATGAGTCTCAATTGTTGAATATTTTCCTCATGCAATGTCTTTTTTTTACAGCAACAGGGCCTGAAGATGCAGCTCTTCCTTCCACTGAGCTCCCATGGCCGCATCCTGCCTGTGCACGAGCTCCCAGGAAGCCATCCTGCAGGCTTTCACCCCCTCGCCCTCTGCAGGAGGGTCCCTCCCCCAGTGCCTGGCTGGAGGGTCTGGCACAGCACAGGCCTCTGTTCTTATTTGGGCAAAGGAATGGAGACACTTGTACAACAAGCACATTATTCACGTGTAAGCGAATTCTGCAAAAAGTCTGAAGACAATCCTTAAGGTGAAACTTCTTATTAGAATTCTGTTCATTCTTAATTTTCTCAGCAAACTTCTTTTTGAGATCAAAGATATACGTCCAAACCAACTGTAAAAAAAAAAAAAAACAGTTTTGAGACTACAACAGAAATTTGAATATGGATTCTGTTTCAGATTATTAGCTGTGGTGATGGCATGGTGACTAATTGTTTTGAAATGCTTCCCTATTTATCAGACATTCAGACTGAAGCAGTTTAGGGTGAAATGAGATGATACCTGGAACTTGTCTTCAAATACTTCAGGACAACACATGTACATGTATTTTATTGAATATATTTATGAAATTAAATAAACAAGATCAGCCAAAATGTTGGTAAGTATTAAAGCTGGATGGTAGACACACAAGAGTTCATTATACCAGGACTTCTCCTCTACTTCTGGGCAAAG